CTAACACTCAACCCTATGGATGGAGTTCCTGTAAGTCTAGGCATTTTCTGGAAGTAGTTCGTGTAGACCTCAAAGCATCTGAGGTAATCAGGGTATTTCCGTCCCAGAGGCGAGTCTACGGTGAGCGGTCCCTCTAGTCCACAACTGACCAGAACCAGCTCTGCAGGTCTGGAATAGGCCACACCTGATTCCAGGTGCTGGGGTTGGAGCTTCTTGCTCCCTACATACTTTGATGCAACTCTGACAGCCCTGTGAGCAGGTGCTTCCCTTGAAGTGTACATGGATAGAGAACAGCCACACTTCTGGTCACCAGGGTAACATGGGGCACAAGAAAAAAAACTCTCTCTGCATCAATATGTGGCATGCCTCTGTACCACCTACTGACCTCTTCCCTTCAAATTCACCAGTTTAAGTCCAACATGGCCACACCCTGGCTGGTCAGCCAGCATAGATCTCCTGTGTCTTTCCTTTTTTCTCCCCCACACATCTGTTCATCTGCATCTCCTAGTGACAGCTAGTCGAGGGCTGGTCAGGAGTGACACTATATTTGGAGCAGGGCCTGCATGAACTGGGTTAATGTGAACAGTTCTCCACTCCTTTAATAGGGCTCACAACTGCTGCAACCACCTCTGTGTACCTCCCACCGTTATGAGAGCAGGAGCTTCCTTTGGGGTATACTAATGTGGGGTTGGCCTTGCCTTTGGTCACTAGGGGAGAGTGGAAAACAAGAAAAAAAAAAAAATTGCACCTTTATCACTGCATCACCAATTTTTTTGCAGCCTCTCACAAAAGATCAAGATGGCTACACTCATCTGTTTAGTGGGCATAGGTTAACAGTCTCTTCTTCTTTTTTTTTTGCCATGTCTGCTCAGCTTTCTCCTAGTAAGCATTCAATCCAGTTCTCTATCCCTTCAGCTGAAGCTCAGAGTGCCGGGACTATCCATTTGGTTTACTCTGTCTTTATTGTTGAGGGGCTGAGCTTTCTGCTCAGTCAGCCTTCTTGCCACCTCCCGACCCCCATCTTTGCTTTTGAAAGCTATTTTTGTTGAGTATGTAATTCTAGATTGAGTGTTATTGTCCCTTCCATTACCTCCAACAGGAAGACTTGTTATCCTTGTAGTTATTTCTCTGTATAAGTGCCGGAGAGTTTATCCTTGCTTTAAAGAAGAGACCTATAAACCCTACAAAGTGGTTCCATTCTGTCCTATAGGGTGGCTATGAATTGCAGTCGACTTGATGGCTGTGGGTTTGGTTAGTTTAGCAATTTGATTGTACAGGTTTGTGTTTCCTGTGCTTGGAGTTCATTGAGCTCCTTAGATCTGTGGGATTATAGCTTTTGTCAGATTTGAACACTGTTGCTGTTGCATGCCATCTCCAGTTGGCTCCAACTCACAGTGATCTTGTATAGGGTTTCTGAAGCTATAAATGTTTGTAGAGCACAAAGCCTCATCTTTTTCCTAAGGAGCAGCTGGTGGGTTTAAACTGCTATACTGTGGTTAGCAGCCCAATACATAACCCATTACACTACTAGGGGTCCTAAGATTTGAAACTATTTGGTCATTATTTCCACATATGTTTATTTCTCTTCTTTTCTCCCCTCTCCAGGATTGTAATTACAATATATTAGACTATATTAAGTTGACCTAGAACACTGATATGTTAAAATTCATTATAATTTATAAATGTTGAACATTTTACATAGTTGCTAATACTATATTTTTAAATTCAAATGTCTAATTTGATCTTAATCCCATATAAGACATGTTTCATCTTAAATATTGCAGTTCAATTAGAATGTTTTTATATAGACCCTGTCTTTACTTAAGTTTATATATACATGGAATTCAGTTACAATGACTGTTTTGATGTTTTTCTCTGCTTATTCTAACCTAAGTGTCATTTGTAGGTTGATCATTCCATTATGATTGGTGTTTTCCTGCCTCTTTGCACGTCTTTTAAATTTTGATTAAATGTCAGAAACTGTGAATTGTACTTCGTTGGATGCAGGATATTTTTATATTCTAATAAATATTCTTGAGATTTGTTCGGGGATAGAGCTATTTTTATTTGTGTGGGGTTTTTTTTAAGACATAGTTTATTCTTTAAGGTTTTCTTTTTAAGTTTTGATGGGTTGGAAAATAAAGTACTACTATAGTAGTCCTTAGTTTAGTAGTTGCTGTTGTGAAATTCCATTGAGTCAGCTCCAAGGAATTCCTGTATTGGGTTTGAACCACCAACTTTGTGGTTAGCAGTCCAGTGCTTATCCTATAGCATGTTTAATTATCTCCCATTACTGACGTAAAACTCTTTTGTATATCACAATTCCCCTTAAGTCATGCGACTTTTTACTCTTTGTGTAAGTTTCAGGCACTACTATACTTCTAATCCTTTTGGATGGTTCTTTGCTAGTCCTTAGGTAGTTTCTTCATATGCATGTATTGGTCAGTATTTAGGTAAAGACTCAAGGGCAACCCTTTGCAGATGCCTGGAGTTCTCTGTGCAATAGCCTCTTTTCCATTACTTGTTCTACAAGCTCTAGCTGGCTTAGTATTCCTAGACCTCTTTTCAACTGAGATAGTTTGGTGGGTTCTGCTTATGCTCCTCTTCCCTGCAACACAGTCTGGAAGTTCTCTCAAGTTAGAAAACTGGAGTGTCTGTGATGCTCACAATGATTGTTTCCCATCTCTCATGATTATTATCTTTAATTGCCTATTGTCCAATGTCTTGAAAATCATTGTTTTACATATTTTTTGTCGATTTTTTTTATTGTTTTAGGTATATGTGAGTAGCAGTAAATCCCATCCTTGTTACTCTGTTAGGTAAAAATGGATGTCTTAAATTATTTTATTTTATCAGACAAAAAATTTTGATTTTTACATTAATCTGAATTTAAATGCTCATATCTTAAAATTCAACCATATTAAAAAATATATAGATGATACATTAAAAAACTATTCTAATGGTGATGGTTTCTGTTGTTCCAGCAATGGGG